TCTAGCAGTTACATTAGGGTATACAGATCAGTTGCCTTCTGTAAGAAATTTTAAAGCATCTTTTCTTTGTGTTTTTTCTGTTTCCTCCTTCAAAATTCCAAGTTTCAGCTAAGATCAAAACGGTTGGGCCCACATGTACTTGACATCACTTCCAATAATGTTTTATTCAAAGTGGGACAAGGGTCGTGGAAGGGGCACAACTCTTTTAAAAGGCAGTTACGTGAAAATCATTGTCACTTAGGTGGCACTCAGCTGACCCTTTGGTTAGCCTGGCTGTGTCTTCTGAGAGTAACGGAGAGACTGCTTTCCTTCTGGTCTCAGGTGAGAGTCCGGTGCAGAGCCACTTTCTGGAAAGCCTCCTCCTCCCCACATACATGCACCTGTTCTGTGTGCCTGGTTGTCTTTGTTTCTGCTGAAGATGCTGGAGGAGTAATTCTGGCAGGGACACATCTATGATGTTGCAGCCTATTCAGTTGCTAATGGATATGAATAGCCATGGACCAGGAGAAAATCTTGTATTTCATCTCAGTGTTTTTACAGTGTTAATTTATTAAATTTTGTGGCTGTAGACTGGCATAAATACGCATAGTTCTCTTACTCTCTGTTGAGGACACAGTACACCTTTGTGGGATGGTCAGCCGGGTCCGAGGGTGCGGGGTGGCTGTCTCATCCTGGACCTTACGCCTCTGTGCTTCTGATGCTTTTCTTTTATCTCACTGTGTCTTCAATTTCAGTAGACAAGTAGTAGTAGGGCATAGGTATGCAGTGCATTGGGAGCTTTCTGTTCATGTGTGCACTGTGTATTTATCAAATTAGGGAAATGACTGTATATGTAATCTTATCACTGCTTTGTGATGAGTGTGTGCAAAACTGGCTGGCTGGTTTGCAATATACTGTACATTATTGTTCACTGTGTCACACACCTATGTTGTAGAGCGCAGGCACTTGTCCGTCTTCTGTGACTGTAACACTGTACTTTGGCCTATCCTCCTCCATGCCATGAGGCAGTTGGTGTTTGTCCTCGGCAGCATGGTGGAGCATCCTGACTGCCAGTCGGGTGCAACTGGGAATAGAAGCCAGTCATGGGAGCGAGCGGAAACACCAGTGTATTAGGGAGGGATGAGCATGCCTTGGAGGTGTGAAAGAGCTTATCAAAGCCTGCTTGGGCTAGAAGTTCTGTGAAGACAGAGCCACGCAGAAGACCATAGGAGCTAGCCTCCTGGGAAGTTGGAGGCTCTCAGCAGCCAAGCAGATGGATTGCCCCATCAGCAGGCATTTACCCCTTTATACTTCTCTCTGAGATCCCCAGGAGAATGGAAGGAGCCAGCAGCCTTCCTGCTTTGTGATATCCTGTGCAGCACCACCTCCTTCCTCTGGGATCCCACATGTGGCCATTTTCGTCCAGATATTTGATTCAGAACAGCTCTGAATGTTAGGATAAATCCCTTAAGTTACATGTGGAATTCATGAGGTCTGAGCAGTAGCTACCATCCAGTGCCCAAAGGAAGTTGGCCTTTGCACTCACCCTTAGGAAGTGGAGCCCTCGCTGCTGGACTCCATCCCACCGTCACTGCATTAGGATCCTTCTGCAAGACCATGCACCAGCCTGAAATGAACACAGATGGCAGTGTCTTTCCACACCTGTTTCACACATGTAAACCCCACAGAAGCTCACAGCTTGAGGACCACGTGTGCAGAGTGCAGGCCTGTTTACTCCAATCGCTAACATGAGAACCACCACAGATAAACCTGTGTGCTTGGAGACTCTGACTGAGGGAGGAATTAATCATTTCCAAACCTCCCAGGTCGTTCGGATGTGGCCTGAGGAGAGGAACCTGCATGAGGCTCACGGAGGTTCCACATTCCATTCCAGTCTGGCCCATGTTGTTTTGAGTCCCAGGGTGTGACGGCTTTAACAAGAATCATCCTCAGTGAGCTCAAGGCAAACTCCAAGGCTCTCCACATCACACTCTATCCCAGGGGCACCTCAGAGCCTCAGCTTCTCAGTGCAGGAGTTCCTGAGTTAAGCATGGTATGGCAAATGAGGACACCCTGAGTCAGTGCCTGTTACAGTGTAAGTGCCAGGCATAGGTGCTGGGGGCACAGTGGACAGGACTGAAGCTTACTCAGCCCACTGAAGTTCTGGTCCAGTGAGAAGAGATGGGGAAGCAACAGGAATACGAATACATCTCCAGTGACCATCAGAACCATGAAGAAAGTGACACGATGGGGAAAGGGGAGGCTTTGTGTATGGAGGTTAGAAGGACATTCGTGAGCAGGTGACAAGGATCCGAGACCCAGTGTATGGAAGTGTGTAGCCTGCCAGATCTGGGGAAGACAGAAAGTTGCCTTAGATACACCTTGAGGTTGATCCTAAAGTCCTAAATATCCTTATAAAATACCACTGATTTTCATGTGTGTTTTACTTTATTTCTGTTTTCTTTGGTTGACTTTTTTTTTTTTTAATAATTTTGCATCCATTCTTTTCCTTCACTGGACACGAGATAACTAAATTCTTTTTTTTTTTTTTTTCTTTTCTTTTTTTTTTTAATTTTATTTAAGGAGAAAAGAAAAAAAAAGCAGAGAAAGGGTACAAGTTATACAGATTTACAGAAAAAAAATGAACAGTAGGAAATCACTAGTTAATGGATTACATATTGTCATCTTAGAAATAATTGTTCAAGTCACAAAATTAAAGCTTGTAAAGTGGACATTCCAACAATGATACTGCAAACAGTTCTGTTCAATGATCCAATAAAACTCTGTGATATCATTTTCTATCTTATACACTTAAATATACATGCAGTTGTATAGTTTAGAGCACTTTCTTTTCCTCTCTTTTGTACAATGACTATTACACATTTTGGGTTTCATTGCTCCCACGGTTCTTATTACTTTTTTGGAAGAGAGTAAAACCAAATGTGACGTAACAGAACAGAATCGGTCAAGTCAAAAGGGTGGACATAATAGATAATGTAAAAACAATAATACAAGGTAATCAACAATGGTTACCATAATGCCTCCCGCTATTTCTAATAGAATTGCCTATATCATTAGTTGTAATACAATTGAACAAAACAGTAAAGAATAAAACCGACAAAACCAAAACATTGGAGACATTGTAGGTCTTCAAAAGTAGATAAAAGTCAACAAGAATGGGCGTCATAATGAATCTCATTATCTTCACAGCTGATGCCTAAACTTTCGAACCTGATACTATCCAGCAAAACAGAATAGGGGAACATCAGTCAAAAACAAGATGGTGAGAGTAAAATAGGGCTTCAAATCGAGATAATGGAAAGTCAAAGTGGGTTACTATATTGTGTAAAACAGTTCTTCCCCCGGGTGGGGCGGCTGCTCTGTGGTATTCAGTGAGGACGTGACAGGTATGTGGGTGAGCACGGTTTGGGCAGTGTGCCTTTCTGTGCTGCGTCTGCAGCCCTGTCCTTTGCTGTTTGTGTCACAAGGTGAATCTCAGTACAGACAGGATAAAAAATGGGGCTTGCCTTTCTGTCTTTAAAAGTCTGTGTTCATGGTAATGGATTTCTATAGTGCAGTGAAAGAGAAGATACCCTTACGAGGTTTTATCACCTAGGGCCAGTCTGTAACTTTCCACCCAGGCTGCTGCCCTCAGTTGCTAAAAATCTCTTCATTCCTGACCTGTAGTCTGCAACCTGAATGAATGTCTTGGTGTTTATGTGTTTGGCTTGGAGAATTGAAAAGCAGTTATCCTGCTTTTCGTCCACTACTGGAAATCTGAAAGAAAGATGAACAGCCACGACAGGTGGCAGGGGAATGGAAGCCCAGAAGAGGATTTTCAGGGGTCCCGCACCCCGCACTGAGAATCCCAGTGCCTCTGGGACCTGGACATTTGAGATGCAACCACTTGGAAATAATAGTTGATACATTTTTAAGATTCTTACCAGATTCCAGGAACTCCTCAAGTCTATTACAATGTTAACACATTGTATCCTCACATTTTAGCAGTCTAGTAAGGTATCACTCCATTATATAGATCAGCATATTGAGGCTCAGAAAAGTTGAATAACACATATATAGTACATGTAAGGACACATGAAGACACGGTGATGGGACAGGTGAGGAAAAACCTGGAATCAAATTTTAAGTTCAAATTTCAACTGAGATTTATCCATTTTTAACAGTCACGCTCACTAAGCCTCACTATTTCCTCAGCTTTGTCACAAAGATTTTAATAATTTATTTTTGATGATTCTGAAAGTAGCAAATGCAAGAAGTACTAAGTGGTTTTCAATAGAATCTTGGTTCAAAAGGGAAGGTGGAAAATTTAAGAAATACCAGTTTGTAGTGATTGTACTCTTCTAAGTTTTCTTGTATACCCTTTTTTTCCCCTGAAATCAGACTTCTGATATCAGAATATGTCCCATAAAAGTGCCTTTCAGTTTGAATTTAATTAGAATTTGTTTTGTTGTTGTTGTTTTATGTGAAATCTAAGAGAAGGATGTGTGTGGTAATTGATTACAGTTTAATCAGCTCATTATCTTTTTATGATACATACAAGCTTTCCTTCATCTCAGGAGGGTGCAGTCTATAGAGCTCATGTAGCCTGACCTCGAGGCACTATGTATAGGTCATGCCAAATCCTGGACCTTGTCTTTGATGTATCGCTCATCTGCAAAACAAAATCCTATTTCTTGACAGTGTCAGAACTGAACCACAAAATGCGCACAATTTCTCAACACAGTGCCTCTTGCAAAGTCATTAAATGCATAACAGTAGCAGCCGTTGTTATTGTTATCCTTGTTTTTCCAGTTAATTTCTGAACTAGCAGACTGAGATGTTCCAGCCAGAAGTCACCTCAGGAATTCTGAACAAAACACTTGGCTTGTTTGTCACACCCTCCTGGTTTGCAAAATGATATTTTGGCTAAAATTAAATTAATTCAGACTCTAAAATTTTGTCATTTGGTTACCTAATTCAGAGTCATGGCCTAAAGAATGAATCTCACTTACTTCTTTCAGTTTGTGGGGACATCCATGGACAATTTTTTGACTTGATGAAGCTCTTCGAAGTGGGGGGATCTCCTGCCAACACTCGCTACCTCTTTCTGGGGGACTACGTTGACAGAGGATACTTCAGCATTGAGGTGAGTGCCCTCTTTCTTCCTGGCCCTCCTTGTGGATCGGGACATCTGGAAAGGAGGAGCAGTAAGTGTTAGTGCCTAAGGGAAACCCAGTGGATAGCAGTGAACTTGAGCAAGCTCCATGAATGAAACAGCACATACCTTTTCAGCCACTGCCGTGTTTAGAATGAATGCACAGGCATGTCAGAGAACTGGCTAGTACTAAGAATTTGTGTTTTGTGCATTTTATGTTTTTGGAAATTTTCAAAAACATCACTGTATCTTACAATAGACACTTCCATTTCCCTTAGATAATGTAGGCAGCAGCATGTTTGCATATGCATAAATCCTGGACATAATGCATGTGTGTCTGTGGCAGAGTGTGTGTGGAGACACATACAGCTGCGTGTTCTGTCTTTCGTTGGCACCTGCTGCCCGACTGGGGTAATTTGTCAAATACACTAAAGAAAACAAAGCAGGTGAGTGTTGCCTGCACCTGCTTTCGGTGAGTAGAAACTACACTCAGATTGAGGGCGAGGACCGTGCTCTGCGTGGGTGCCCATCCCTCCTGCCTCACAGACCTTCTCATATGCAGTACCAACTTAGCAAATACTCTCAAAAGGAATGGCTTGGGACACAAATCAGTTACAAAGTCACAGCTCACGCATATGGACTGACATCAAACATGTTCTTAAGTACAGCAGCATTAAAAAGCTGTGTGGTGGTGAACACCTGTAATCCCAGAACTGTGGGACGAGCCAGGAGGCTTGGAGTGGAGTCCAGCCTGGACTGCTGAACAACATTGTGAGAGCTTGCCTCAAAATAAAAATAAAAGGTTTGGAAATGTAGCCCAGTACAAAGGTTCAATCCCCAGTATCTCCAGAAACATAAGCATAAGGAAAAGAGAAAAATATCCTTAAAGAAAGAAATCAGCTTTACTAAAGTCTCACATGAACATCATGCCACATGATTACAGTCATATAAAAAGATTCTATACTTTTATGTATTTATTTATCAATAAGAATATTCATTGTTGAAAAACAAGTTGGCTTTAAGCAACTTTTATTTAAAACATCTTTGAAATCATACCAGTTTTTGATGACTCAGCCAACTAGTCTTTGACTACGTGTTTCTCTTTCTCTGTAGATAGATAGCTGGATGCATATATAGATATATGTCTATGTATACAAATACATTAAAGGGATATAGCTATACATACACACACAGAGAGAAATTTTATATTTCCTCTACTTGGTAGACTGATATTTCCAAATGCATAATGCATATATCAATCATAATTGGGACTGTGAAAAATCTGACAGAAGTATCACATACGTCTTGGCTCTCCAGAAACCTAAATCTATAAATCTATAAATAGAACCCTGAGGCTAGGCTGTCCAGCAGTCAGCTGCCAGAAGGGACTCCTAAGATCCTGTGAGACAGTGCTGCTGGCATATGAACAGTGGAGGCTGCTGGGGCCAGACACGGCTGCACAGTAGTCTGCCTTAGAGACCCGTGCAGTGTAGTGGGAGTGGGCACAGAGCAGGACCCTGAGGGACCCCAAACCGCTCACCTTTGCAGGCATTCAGTCTGTTCACCTGGCGGAGAAGGCACTGAGTACGCCTTGGTCAGCACCCTGGGTGACACCCATGGCGAGCTGGACAAGGTCTGGCCTGTGTGACTCTGACCCGTCTTGTTATCTTGCCATCCTCAGTGCTGACCCCGGGAGTGAATGGAAGAGCTGTTCTGTGTTTTCTGATGCTAAGTAAGGAAGCCTTGAGACTGTCACTGGGGAGGAATTATTTTTTTAGTCAAATGGTAGAGTTTTATGTGAGAAATTTTTTTTAGTATTATGAAACTTGAAGGTATTTTTAACCAACTTAGTTTGGATTTTTTATCAAATTAGAGATGATGTTTATTATATATTTGGTAGTAAAGTCTCACATGATATGGTATAATGCCATGTGTGGGCACAAGTAACCACACAGCTGGACTGTTCATGCCTCAGCAGCTCTGTCTTGGACCAGCTCTTTTTGACTTAATGTTTTTTGTTAGTTTCATAGGTTTTTATTTACTTTGATTTTTTAAGATTGCAGTCTGATTCTCTGACCTCAAACCATTTGAAATTCCCTAAACTTTTGCTAACTTGAGTTTTTTAGAACCTTTTGTTTTTTAAGTTAAAAAAATCAAAAAACAATATTGTACTAGCTGATTCAATTACTTTGACTTCTAAGATGTTTTTAAATCTACAGTTAATTTAAATATTTGAAGAAAGGCAATGCTTTTTATAGTATGCTCCTCTGAACATTCAAGCAACGGATCAAAGAACCATACTAAATATTGGTAATATATCAAATAGAGGTGTGGTGGAACATATGAAAGTTCTGAGGTGCTTGTATTCACTTCTCCAATCTCAAATCAGCTGTGGGGCTAAGTTTCAGGAGTCTGAAGAGTCAGCCTATGAGCTTGCTAAAGACATACAGAAGTGACAGATGTCTCATATGTAAGATGATCCATGATGATCAGACTGACCTTTGAGAGGCTTCAGAATAGCTCAGTGGTATCATCATCACACTAAAGGAGAAGGACATGTATATAAAATGTGCTTGCTGAGAATACATGGATTAAAAAGCTGGCGCTGTTTGCACACTTAGATGCCCCTGTTAAATGCTGCAAATGACCGCATTTGTGCCCACAGCTGTGGGAAGAACATGTAAAGCTCCCTTCTGCAGCATGCAGAGCCCTGAGTGGGGCACACTCGTTGTGAGTGTAGTTCTAGGGCTTACGCCCTGTGCTCTTTGCATCACCCATGCCTGACTTGGGGTGTATCCCATGGATGCACTGCAGAGGACCATGGAAACACAAGCACTGGTACCACGGGCTGGCACACTGTGCACTGACTGTGCCTGTGCCACGTCCACATAACTTTCTCCCAACACCTGTATCTGAAGGTCAGAGCATTCAACAGGGAATATTCTCCAAGAGAGTATTGTACGTCTAAGAAAAACCCTGAAGTCAGAGCTTAGTTCTCAGCAGTCTTATCCTAATAGATTTCAGAAGGTTGCTGATGCATTTCAGTAATCCAAGGCTTCCCTGTAAGGCTTCTTCTTAGCTGTCCTCTGACTAGAGAGCAGCACTTTGGTTTAATTTCTGCCAGATCAGCTTTGAAGAGTGTTTTGGCTTTCTAATCGTTTGCCGGGTGTGTATCCAGCCTCTTGGTAATGTGCACTCTCCCCACTGCGTGCCCAGTTTTCTCTTCTTTGCCGGATTAGAAAGCATTTTTCACAAATTTAGCCCAGATATAAGGAAGCAGTTCAGTAGTGATAAAAGGGGTACTTTGGTTTGGGGTAACAATGTGCCCCCTTGTTGATGAATGCATTACCCAGGGCTTTCTCTGATGAAGCACATGTGTGTACACAGACCTGAGTGACTCAGACTTGCACAGACAGGCATGTGGCTTCCTTCACGGAGCTTCTGTGCAGCCCTTCTGCGGAGGGTCCGAGCTGTGCAAGAGCTACCCAGCTCCCTGCTTTGTTTACATCCAGATCTCAACCCAGCCTCCAGCACTTTCAAGTGTGAAAGTTGTTGTGTTCATTAGCTGTGAACTCAGACACCAGAACAGATCACAGCCAGCCTGGCAGTGTTCCTTGCTTCCACCTGACAATAACAATCCAGTGTGACAAGTAGCACCATAGATCTGTCTGTTGTCTCCCTGAAGCCTGTGGTCTTTGCAGTGCATTGCTTTTCCCAGACTGCTGCTCAGGGTCCTTGGCAGACAAGGCAGGTGACATTTGAGGAGTTTGACCCTCTTCCCAGCCAGTGCATATCCTGTATGATCATCCAGTGATGGAGAAAAAGCCCTTTGATTGGAGCATTTCACAGCGTGGACAACTCATCAATTCAGGGAGCTGAACAGTGTGTTTTCTTTTTCACTTCTTCTTTCTCTTCACTTCTTCCTCTACTTCCCTATGCAATTATTTAAGGAATACTCACCATTGAAAACTGTAAATCACAAAGCAAAGCATCGCATGGTCAATATCAATGAGCTAATTAAACTAATGAAATAATACCCTCAGTGTGCTTTCTTGAGGAAGATACATAAATAGGAAAAATTTACGTGTATGGCAGAAATTAACAAAAAGCAAAAGCCCAGTGTCTCATCTTGGTAATCCAAACTAAGTTGCACTGAGGTGTTAGATGAATAGTAGGGCTGGAAGATAGTTGGCCTCCCACTTAGGTGGGACAGCTCACAGCTCCCCCATAGCGTGGCCAGTGGACACTGAGCTGTTCTGCCCTAACAGTTCCTGCAGGAAAGGGGGTTCATCTGAGCCACTGGGTGCCACATTCACAAGGTAACTTAGTGTCCAGCTCATTTTTATGTCCCTGTTTCACTGAAGTAATTTTTTTTGCAGGAAATGCTACTTAAAAACAAAACAAACAAAAACTAATACCAGGTTATAATTTTGTTTAAGCTTTCAGCTCTGCAGAGCATTGAGACTGTAGATGGCAGGGCTGCTGCCAGCAAGTCTGTGTTGTGCTTGGCCACTGGCTCCCACCAGATGTGGAGGGCGAGGGCTGCTGGGCTCCTCCCGCTCCTGCCCCGCCACTTCTTCCATATTGGCTGCATTTGCGGTTTTCCTAGTGTTTGGGAAGATATTTTATTCTTGCCACAAGGGAGAGGGAAATAAAATGTGAAAAGAGAACTCTTGTTTTTACAGTATTTGGAGCCAAGAATTTGGGAATTGAATAATTTTCCTATTTTCTTTCTCTTTTCCTCCCTCCATGCTTCCCTCTTTTCTTCCTTTTTCCCTTCCTATTCATAGAAATGGAGTTAACGTTCCCTAAACTTGTAGCATTTGCTAGGTGTTTTATGTCCACGAAAGAATCAGGAATGTCACTGTGCACTGCATAGTGTGAGGATTGTCAGTAGCGATGATAGGAAGATTTAGCGGGAACATGTGCACCACTCGGAGCCTTTTTTTCCCTTCTGCTTGTTCTCTCTCCTTTTGTTTCCCTCCATTAAGCTTTAAAACGTAATGAGAGAGCCACAGCAATTAAGAAGAGAGGTGATGAAGTTACAGAACTGCAGCCTGATGTCAAAGCAAGATCTTTAACAGATGGCAAAAGGGGAACGGGGGCCCTATCCAGTGTTTGGATGGAATTTTAAAAATGCACTATAGTTTGTATTTCGATTGATCATAGGTTTGCAATTTTTACAGGGAAAAAAAAAAAAAAACTAAGAAGATCAGAATTATGATTACATTTTCAGGAAGTTGGGAGCTGGGAGCCTTTGTTGCCAAGCTGTGACTGGGTGTGGGAGGCAGTATTAGGAGAGCACATGGCAGAGGTTGTGGGGCTGTGCGTGCGATGTGGCCTGTCACACGGTCCCTGAGCTTCATAAGCTGAGCCTTCATTGAGCCGTAGCCACAGTGCAGCCAAAGCATGTTCCGCTCTCCCTCAGTCTGTGCGTAAAGCCCTGAACAGAGGAATGACAACATGTGAATGTGTTTGAAGGAGCTCTATGTACCCATTCCTATTCCCTGTTAGAGACAGATGACAGCTACATGGTATAGCCTTGAACATTTTAAATTAGGCGCAGTCCTCTTCTTGACGTTAATGGTAGTTTATAAACACCTCTTTTGAAGCATAGCAACCCTGGGTGACACAGTACAGCTGTGTTGTGCTGTAAACCCCATATACAGCCCAAGAGTCTCAGCCACTGAACATGCTCCTTGTGAAGACCACAGGAGTCTGCACCCCATGGCCCTGTAAGGGACCTCTTGCAGGCTGCATGCCTCTGCCTCAGGAAGACTGTCCCCTTGCCATGTGAGCTTAGATGATTGCTCCAATTAGAACATGATCATAGGAAGTTAAAAGTAACACATACATTCAGTGTCATCCTATTATTGTTTACTGTAACTTTATGGTGGAGAATACTTTGCTGAATAATAGAGTAATACACACTGACTTGGATAATTAGCGTTTTCTTCAGATCTTGGGCTGTATATTCACACACATAGTTGCTGTCCACTCCTTTCAACCACAGTGGCCACAGAGATGTTTATTCTTCCCAGCTAGCATGACAAACCAGTCGCCAGCCGCTTCTCCCCGTGGCATCATCCAGCACACCTGCTCTGTGTTGGTAAACTCATCTATAAAGAAAAGCTTGTGTGTTTTGGTTTCAAATTCAGTAGCCAGATTATGACCTGTCTCAATATTTTTATGGATTCTTCACCTTCTCAGCTTTACTTTCAGACTATAAATTTCAGGAAAATGAGAGTATCTGTTTTCTAAAATATGGATCTGTGCTCCCACTGGCTTCTTACCAGATGCCAGTTGAGGACAGGGAAATCCGTGCTGCAACTTGGGTGCCATAGCAGGCTGTATCATCAGCCCACCCAGGGGACTGTGGTGGCTCTGTGAGTTCATGCCATCCCTGTGCAGGTAAGAGTCCCGCAGAGTACAGTGCCCAGCACTGCTGTGAGGGCTTTAAGGGAGTGCAGTGCATTCCCTCCCTGTAAGTGGTGTGTGTCTCTGGCCTTCCATATATTTATTACCCATATATTTATATAAAGGAAAAGCTCCAGGCTTTCTGTGTCAGGCACTAAAGGAAAAGACAGGAGGAAGTGGAGAGAAGGCAGGGTTTGGTAAGGAAAAAGGAATGTAGGAGCCGGGAGCCAAGGCCAGGCTTCGGGCGCTCTCCCCGTTTCCTGCCAGCCCTCTGTCTCTGTCACCTGGCTCTCAGATGACTATCTTGGTGATGAGAACCTAGTGAGTCCCATCTCTTCCCTGCTGGTGTAGCAGCATGTCTCCCGGGGGCTTTGTCCTCATTCTGCATTTGCCTCCTGTCACCGTGGGGCCCGTGGCCCATCTGTGGCTGTAATTCTCCTCTCGCGGTGTCCTGGGAGCGAAGATGTTGGCTTTGCACAAAGCACTGTTGGTCTGATTGGCAGCGTCCTCCCTGCTAAGGCCTGGCTCGGGAACTTGGGTCACAGTAACACGTTTGACTCACAACTTCATGACATGTAGCTTTGGAATTCACAAGATAATGCAAGAAATGTTTATATTGTTCTTCTTTTTACTTTTTTTTCAGTGTGTGCTGTATTTGTGGGCCTTGAAAATTCTTTACCCTAAAACACTGTTTTTACTTCGTGGAAATCATGAATGTAGACATCTAACAGAGTATTTCACATTTAAACAAGAATGTAAGTACACATCAGACTCCTCCCTTTACTGCTGTATGTGCAGCCCTGCTAACTGATAGCTAACAGACCTCTGAGCCACTGCCTAAAAGTAAAACCTTCTAAACGGACAGTACTTCCTGTCATGCCGTTTCTTTCAAAGCACGGATAGTTACAGGGATTCAGATTTTTTTAATTATAGGTTCTCAATGAAATAATCTTTGAATTTGAATTAACGTTTGATATAATTTATGCTTGTAAGAAATAAGTGATTACCTTTTAAAGCCAGTCAACGTATGATACAGTCCATATAATAATGACTCTGTGTAATAAAATAGGAACATGAGGGGAGCACTTCCTGGGCCCCATAGCCTCTGGCCTCCGGTGCACCTTGAGCTTTCTCATTAGCTGTGGGCAGAGCAGGAGGGCGAGGCAGGGACTATTCCTTTCCTCTTCTCACTGTTCCCCAGCGTCCCTGAAACTTAACGGTTTCTGTGTCATTTCACCTTCTATTCATTGCAGTACACAGACGCCTCCTCGCAGAACAGCCGTGTGAGTTGGTCAGGAAGAAGCAATGTAACCTGGGAAACGTCTTTCCCTCTGCTCTGCTTTCCTTTGCTTTGACCTTTTTTTTTTTAACCAAGGGTCAAACTCAGGACCAGGCACCTGCAAGGCAGGCGTTTGTGCTGCTGAGCTAAATCCCCAGCCCCCCAACCCCCCGCCCGCCGCTTTTCTACGAAGTCATTCAGAAAATCAGTCCGCCTTATGGCTAGGACTCTTTTTTACTGTATAGAAAATTATAAAACTTATAAAATACAGATGAATGATAAAAATAGAAAACACTAAGTATAATAAAGGTCAGTATGTAAATCTTAATAAGTAGTTTTTGATTGGGTCTTGGAAAGTTAAAAAGTGCAATGTTTTAGCTCCTGATTTCATCTTTGCATGAAAAATGATGAAGAGAAATTAGACTGTTTCAAAAAAGAGCCACTCTCTCAGTGCAGTGGTTTTACTGTAGTTGTGATATCATACAACTACATATCCCTCTCCCTTGTTCTCCAACAGGTAAAATAAAGTACTCGGAGCGCGTCTATGACGCCTGCATGGACGCCTTCGACTGCCTGCCCCTGGCCGCCCTGATGAACCAGCAGTTCCTGTGCGTGCACGGCGGGCTGTCCCCAGAGATCAACACACTGGACGACATCAGGAAAGTAAGTGTGTGCCCGATTGTGCCAGAGGCATCGACTAACCGGCTTTCTTTTCTTTTTGAATTTTTAATGTTTATTGAGCATTTATATAAAAGTATCAAAATTTTCAGCATCAACTGGGTTTTGGTGTACAAAGTCTAAAAAAAAACCAGCAACAGACACAAATTCCTGTAGGAGCTACGCGCGCACCTTGCCTGTCAGAATTCATGAGATGACATAGCCAGATTTCTGTCTTGGGAAGATCCATTTACGCCCAGATTTTTCATCCCTCAGGCCATGGCCTGTCTTGCCACGTGATGCGCGCTGCAAACACTGCAAGCTCAAATGCTGGACCTCTGACCCTGGATGTCCTTTTGTTTCCCTTCAGCTTTTCCCCCCAACAACCCATTTTGTGTTTGTGGTGTAGTTTTCAGGAAGTGTTGTTCTGCCCTTGGGAAAATATCACAGTTTGACCCTTAGAATTTATCCATATTATTTCATTTTAAAATCTCCTAAAATGTTTTAACAGGCTAACAAAGTCTGTTTTCCGTTTTGACTGCCAGATTGAAAACACTGGATTTCTTAAGAACTTAGTGTTTGCTATTACTGTCATTGTAGGCAGCAAAAAGATAATTTAGATTAAAGGTAGAAATGCATTGTCTTTTTCATGCAAATATATAATAATATAGAGTACTTTTATGTAGTAGAAGAGTCTTTCATTTCTTTGCTCATGTTTGTGTATTTCTGATAATTGTTAACAAGGTAAGCAAAATGAGAGTAATACACTCCTTGTATTTTTCTTGATGCTGAGATCCCCAAAGAGAAAAGGCAATGAAAAAAGATTGTTATCTTCAGATAATATTATTTGGAATTATTTTAAAGTCTGATAATTTGTTTATATTCACATGTGCAAGACGGTCAGAGGGTTGTGTTTACCACCTTACTTTCTACCTGAGAAGAAGTTTTTCTGTGAGAATTTGAGTATTAGAAAGCCACATTTTTTTGTAGAACCTTCCTGTTCCCTACTTTCAGAAGCCTAAGAAAATATTCTTGTGTGTATCCAAAAGTTCTAAGAAAAAAACGGGGAAATAATTGTACTTCTTTTGTAAAATTACTCTCACCAGTAATTTAGAAAAAATAAGTCCATCACATTATTCTAAATTACTATACTTGAACTCTGTATTAAAATTGGGAGTTGATAGGGGCCAGGGATTAGCGCAGTGGCATAGTGCCTTCCTGGCAAGTGTGATGTCCTGAGTTCGAGTCCCACTACCAAATTAATTCATTAACTTATAGAATTGAGAGGAGTTGCTGAATTTTCTTACAAAGACTTGATGTTTATTTACTCATCCTCCTGTGTTATGAGCAGGCTGTCCTGTTCATAGGGGGCATTGGCAGTGTGGCTTCAGTCCGCCCTCTTAAGCATGATCACGGGAACAGCCCAGACTCTAAACCATGCTTAGGACTCAGGAGGCCTTGCCCCAAGAATGCTGTGCTGTCACTTGTTTGAGTAGTAGTGAGCTAGTTGCTTTTTCCACTTCCTTGAGCTTGGAACCTTCAGTCCTAGAAATCTACATGCTCGTCAGCTTTACACCTTAATTCCATCAGCTATCTTAAATTAATATCAAATAAGTAGATATTTAGAAAGAAATCAAAGAGCCATGTGTCTATCTTTGTATCTTACTAGTAACCCGGTAACCCGTTACTGCGGTAGGTATGGAGAATGAGAGGTCAAAGTGCAGATGGCCGTAGTTGTTCAGTTAAGGAATGTCGGGCTTCAGGATACTTTTGTTTTACTGGCTGCCAGCAACCAAGTTTTGTAGGCTGGGATTGGAAGACAAGAAACTAAGTGTCCTTCTAAGTGTGAGAATTAGTAAAAAGTTCACTGAAATAGCCCTTATAAGTGTTTGAACAGAACTATGTGTAAAATTTGCCACTGAAGAAAAAAAAGGATACACTTACTGGGCTGTTTTATTGAAGATACAATTATCAGCAAAAATATCTATAGACATCTACTGCAAAACTAATCACTTTTATATGATTTTCATTTGCTGCATTTCTTCATGGACCTCATAGTGTTGAGGAAATAACTTAGTAAATCTTGAATGTATTTATACATCGTAAGTTTCTGCTGTCTAGTGAACTTGATGTCTTTTTAAAGTTCATAGGTTTTCAGAGAAAAATTATATTAGGAAGGCAAAACATTCAAGTTCTTCCTTAAGAACGCTTCCTAAAGATTTAAATAAAGGCTAAAAATAGTTATTTGCTATTAAATAGCGAATGCATACTTTTTATTTTAAAAATTAAAAGCATTTAAATTTTCGTTACTGGTCTCTGCATGTCTATTTTCTTAAGACATCGTTACACCTTTGCTCTGTGCTCCGTGCTGTGTTAGACACACAGCGCAGACTTGCTTTGCATTTAAAGCACTGTAGAGATTGTGCCCGTGTCTCAGAGACCAGGAGGGGAAGCCCTTTTCTACAGGAATTTAAATAAGCTCTTTTCCTGCAACCCAAGACAGTCTTGAAATCAGTGCTGAACTTGTCATGGTGTGTTAACTAGATTTTTAAAATATTTATCTTCAGAATTTACTTTCCTGCATATTTTAGATACTGGCATAAATAATTAAGCTCCACATTTAGCCATAAAATGATCTGAAATTTACATTTTGCCATATGTCAATAGTTTCTAGCAAATTTATTTAATTTCGTTGATTTTTATGTAGATGATAGCCGCTTTTAGAATGCACTTATTAGCATTTCCAGAATAGATCTTATACTTTGGTTGTTCTCCTAGACCTTTGGTTGAGGATTCATGTTGGTTAGAAACGCTTCCTGTTCTACCTCTAATAATAAAGTCTTATTTCCTCTAGGGGAAAAAAAAAACCCTATCATTTATGAAGCAACATTATTTTTCTTGGAAGAATGGTTTCAAAGCATAAAATACTTAAATCTCTTAAACAAATGTAAGCTTGCAGTGAGTATTTCTGGCTAACTTAGTGGTTGAAGTATGGAAGGTCTGGTCATATGGAAGGTTTTCACTGGGTGTTGAAAATGTAAAATGGTTTTCATTCTCTTTTAAGTATTGGTGAAGTCCAGTATGTGGCCTAACCATCACTTGCATCATTTGCAGTGGCCAGGAAAACTAGAGGATCTGATTGGTTGTTGGCCAAATCTTTCATCCACTGGATTTTTCAAAATGTGAAAATGTACTAAGAATATCTGAAGAATATCACTTAACAAATTTTCACAGACATTTTTGCCTTGTTTTTAAGAAGTTGTACAGAATCTGCTTCACCAAAGAGCTTTTTAATTTTGTTTAAATCTGAATAAAGTGACACTGTTATAAAATATAAAATGTATTTCCTGTTATATTGCTCAGACCTTCTAAATACACCTTTTTAAACTGAAATATGGCTTTGCAAAGCATATGTGATAGGGAAATCAATTTCAAATGAATGCTTCAAGTAAAACTACCAAGTGTAGCACTCTGAATGACCAGTGGAATTTGGAGTTATTTTACTGCTTATCATTATTTTCGTTTCTGCCACTAAGATCAGACATAGACGACCTGTGCTTTAACCAGAAACCTAGATGACTTGTAATGAGTAAATATCCGAGATGTCAGTTAACATGTGGTCCCCTTAGAGTGAAAGCTCACTGTTCCCAAGATCCTTTTGTTACACATAAAAATCATAAGGCCGTCTGCATCCACACTTCTAAATAACAGTTTAGTGGACAGCAGAGGAGTCTCCCCAGAGATAGCTGAAGCTCCTCCTTCCCAAATCAAACAGAAATGGAGTCACATCTATAGGTAGATAGGTAGATAGAGACGCACAGACGGACAGACAGACAAACAAACAGGTTGATTAGGTAAATGGGTAGATGGATGGATGGATGGATGGATGATGATCTGTCTTTATACCAATCATCATCCATTCATCCATCCATCTACCCATAAAGACAGATGATCGATAGATACACAGGAGGTAGTAAATAGTGGATAGATGATTGATAGGTGATCTGTAGATAGATTGATACATAGGTGAGAAGACTTAAAGGAGAAGGGGAGAAAGGATAAGAGGATGACATAAGAAGGATGAAAGAAAAGGGATGTGAAGGGAGTGATGAAGGCACGATGGCTGAGTGCCTCAGGAGGAGGAAAGCAGGGAGCTTGGGAAAACCCTGAGAGGGAGCTGCAGCGTATCTGGTGGCGAGAGCAGGAGGAGAGCACCCAGAGCTGGTGGAGGAGAGGGGCTGAGAGGTCTGGGACTGGGCGGTGTGGTGTCTGCTGTGCTCTGAATTCCATTTCCAAAGATTAGTAGTTTGGTCTCCGTCCTCTCTTTTTCTTAGTTAGACCGATTCAAAGAACCACCTGCTTATGGGCCCATGTGTGACATCCTGTGGTCGGACCCCCTGGAGGACTTCGGGAACGAGAAGACTCAGGAACATTTCACCCACAATACAGTCCGGGGGTGTTCGTACTTCTACAGGTGAGGCCCCTGGCCGGGGACCTGGCTTAGTGAGGATGCTTCTGTGGGAAGCAGCTGGGAAGGAGAGGCTCAAATGCATTCTTCACTTGCAAAATGAAATAGGAGTAAATGAATTGGTGTAAAGCATATATATCCATAGTTTCTGAGAATAGAAAATACAGGAAAACGCGTATGGTGTAGGGGGGAGAGGCTGCTGGATATGTAAAGGCAGGGTAGGAAATTTGTTCTCCTTCAAGAACCATAGGAAAAGCATCCATCACAACTTTCAATTAGATAATCACATTTAAAAAATTTACAGGTTCTCATAACTTACATCAAAGAAACAACTTTACTTTGGTTTATTATAATACTTCAAGGCACTTTGAAGCTTGCCAGCCTCCCTGGATACATAAAACCTTTCAGCTATGCAGCACGAAGGTATCCTAGTAAACCTGTTTTCAGCACGTTGATAAGCCAGGGTGAACTGCACAGAGTGATTCTTAACGCTTGCACATCCCAGGGGCTTTTCCCATTCTGTTGCTTCTGACCCCTTCAGAGAGGAATCTCTGACACAGCAGGGTTTCTGCATGTCCTTGGTTTTCCTGGTCACCTCCTGTTTAGCGCTGTGTCTGGTTCTCCTGCTGTCCCTGACTCCCTGCCAGCAGACAGTGACTCGGGAAATACCCAGGCAGAGATCACGTATGAAGGACTTTTTAAATCCTAGAATACAAATTCCATTTCTTTATTTCATTTTTTAACTTAAGAACCAGACTCAGTGTGCCCTGAGTTAGTGCTTGAGCCCAGCCCTGGCACAAGCCAACAGCAAGGCCCGCGAAGGCGCGTGCCACCGCCTCTCTCTTCAGAGCGAGCCGGGTTCTCCTTGTATGATCTGGTCAGATTCCAATGGGAAGAACACTTTTTTCTATTTGCTGCATTTTTTAATAGAGGGAAAACGGTTTCTTTTATTCATTAGTTGTTAGGATAGAGAAATTACTTTTGGAATAGAAAATCTTAACTTTGTGAAGCATCATTCAAAGAAAGTTTTCTGTTACACATGTTAGTAGGGAGGTTTGTTCTAAACTTGTTTATCAGAAAGTTTATAGTTTGCTTTGATGTTTTTGAAATCTGGGCACAAAACCTCACGGGTCTGTTTTATAAAGTGCTATGGCATGCTGTGGAACAAAGCTAAAGCTCCGACGAGCTGGATCCGCAGCACCTCCTTGCCCCAGGGCCCACCCAGGTTCTCCCCGAGCTTCAGTTTGTGTCTTTTCTGCCTTTGCTCCCTGTGCTGCCGCTCGGCTCTGTCCACCTACCCATCCACCCTCTGGAGGGAGTTCCAACCCTTCCTGCCTGCTCATCTGTGCTTCTCTTGACGATCTGCCAGGAGGAGATTTTTCAAAAAGAGCCCCTAATTAATCACAGCAAGTCCTCTTTCTTTCTTCCTGATGGTTCATACAGAACTGGTACTGCTTTATCTTTAGTGGCTTTTATACTTTAATGGTTTTTAAACATTATCTGTCCAGTACTCTCTGCCCTCGCCTGGATTACAGCCACCCTGGGACAGAATTCATGTGCACCTCTCATTAGACCCCTTCCGTAGCCACTGCAGCCTCTAACAGGAAGAAAATCATAGTTATTGGGAAGTGAGCGACTTGCCAACTCTTTGTGGCTTCATGTTGAGAACTCTGCTTTTCCTACCATTTTATGTGTGTGAAAGTATGTGCGGTGTGCTTTCACCTTGAACATTTTGTGGGTTTTGATCATTTCCATTAAAAGCATGAAAGTATTATAGAGAATCTGGGTTGTTTTCAATTACTATTCAATACATTAATGTATTCTAGGCAGATAATACACCGATAATGGGATTCTAGGTAATACTCAAGTATTTTCCCAATTTATGAAGGAAAATACTTTAAAAATTTGAGCATATCTGTGTATACTTAAATTTCTGAGTTTTCTTCATAATGAACTCTCTTCATATAAATAATAAAGTTCCTCGTGAGATGCTATTACCTCGCACACTGCTGCTTGGTGAACATCATTTTTCTTAGGATTTTTATTAAAAGTTGGACATATATTCCCCTGGGGAAAAGCGTAATCTAAATGTCTAGAGGAATCGAAATTGGCATGAATGAAAGATTTGAAAAGTGTATTTTTCTAAGAGCCTGGTAAGTCACTCCAAGAAAGTAGGATGCAGCTCAGCCCTTCGCCAAGGCAGAAATGTGACAAAGCAGAGTGGCCGCCTTGTGCCCGTGGGAACAAGACTGCTGCCACCTTCTGCTGGGCAGAGGTGAAAGCCACAGAACCTGAGGATAGGACTATAGAAACAGAGAAAGGTACTGTTCTAGAGAGGCCCCACCTCCAGCCTGGCAAAGTACAGCTAAATGTGCACCAACCACTGTGCTGCTGTGAGTGGCAGCCCAGTCTGTTTCTGACGTGTGGAAAGCACACATCCTCCCTTGCCTTCCTTCACTGAGAGTGAAGCCTTTGAGTCCATACTGGCTGCGGCCAAGCTGTGGGTACCAATGGCTGAGCCTTCTCTTTCCTTGTCTTACAAAACATACACACGTGCGCAGAAACTCTTTCAGTTGTGGTCCCATTTTTGCACACACACAAAAATACTAACTCTCACTATCAGTATCTCTATAACTTAATCCCACCATTCTAGGAGACTGAGGCTGGAGGATTAAAAGTTCAAGCCCATTTTGGGCACCTTAGCAACATACTATGAAACACTATCTCAAAAATACAAAATAAAAAAAATGCCTGGGAACGTAATTCAGTGTGAATGCCCCAAATTTAATCTCAGTATCACAAAAACAAAAACAAAACTAAATCTCTGTAACAAGATGCTATCTTCATGGTATTTTTTTCCTGTTAAAACAGGGAATTTGTACAAATGTATAGCATAAAAATAATATTCATCTTGTCTTTCATAATAATTATTTTAGTGACATATTCCAGGTAATTACTTCCCCTAAGTGCTGTTTTATAGTTGATAAGTGTTTCCCATGGCGTATGTAGTTTAGATTCTAGTGAATATTTCCAATTTGTTTAAGAGTATTAGTTTTCTGTCCCTTGACTTGAATCGTTACATGCATTTATCTCATTAAAATTCTTACAGCAGTGACAAGGGTGTTTCAAATTTTAATTTATACTTTGAATTTCACGTATGATAGTCCCTCAAATTTGAGACTTTCTTAAATGATAAACAGAACTGCATGTTGACTTTTTTTTTTAAGTCAACAGAAATAAGTCTTAAGAGAAAGTTCTCTGGCTTGGATTTAAAGCAGTCTCAAGCCCCATGAGTTTCCCTGTGAGTTTGCACAGAGCTTTTCGTGATCAGCCAGGGCTGCACCCATAATGGAATGGGATGGGGACTGAATCTCCTGGGCACTTCCTCTGCCTCCTCCTGGCTGGGCCTCTGCGCATCCCACAGATCACCCAGGTCAGGGGACCTGAGAAATCGGTTTGCATTTCAGTCCCATTCTGAAGATCTTCTTACACTTCTGTTGCTTCTGTGTTTAAATGGAGCCATCAAGTCCACTTTCCCTGAGTGACCCCCTTGGCATGGTGTGTTTCGCTGCAGTTCGCACCTACAGATCACAGGCGTGGGTGCCCTTTCTACAGGGGGCTGTGGAGCATGATGTGTATATGTTTGCTCAGACCAGGCTCACGTGCGACTCTCCAGATCACTCCATTATTGATGCCCCCTCTCTCTCTCTTTCTCTGCAGTTACCCAGCTGTCTGTGAATTCTTGCAGCACAATAACTTGTTATCCATACTCCGAGCCCATGAAGCCCAGGATGCAGGGTGAGCAGAGTCAGGGGCTGGGGCATCGTACATGTGTGGTGTCCTGCTGTGCCACTCTGGGCTGACCTCTTGGCAGGCCACTCCCAGAGGGAGCAGATCTCATGTATTCTGTGGACGGCTCAGGTATGGCAGGGTTGCAGTGGGTGGCTGCAGGTGGCCATCAGGTCCCCTTTGGGGTTCTTGCCAGTCCCTTTCAGCTGGTCATTCTAATTGCTGGAAGGCCAGCTTCTCTCCATCCCATTTCCCCACTCTCCCTAAGCGAACAAATTCCCAGTGCTTTCCAGGCTTAGTTTTGGGCAATGTAGAGGACACTCACACAATTGTAGTGCTTCATATATTACAGCTCGTGTGCCATTCCTGAGCCCTATAGAGTTTTAAAGAACAAGCCAAAAATTACATAAAATTGATTTTATGTGTTGTCTAGTAAAAAGTAAAGCATAGACCCATATTAAGAGCTACACAATACTAAGAAGCCTCCAATATTTGTTATAATGATTGAGTCAGTCTTTAAGAGGGAGACAGCGTCATGATGAAGTGTAGGATGTGAGGTCTGATACCCTGTCCACGCTGCCCCACTGAGTGCATTGCTGGCCTCTAAGGAGTTAAGATCACCCCTTCATAGTCGGAGTTTCCGGAGAGCAGGAGCACTTGTAACACTTGTGTGCCGAAATCGATGGTACAGATGCCTGTGCCATAGAGGAGGACAGGGCCCAGGGTGCCCCTGAGTGGGAATCTGAACTCCTGAAGCTGGCTTTTCTCCGCTGGTCACTGTTGTCACTGGAGCTTAAAGTGACCGCTGCCATGCCCAGCCTCAGGACCCCAGACGTCTGTCTCCACTGTTGGACGTGTGTCATCTCTTTAGCTGACTGACCACTTGAGAGCATCTGTCTCACCAACATACTGGGGGTCGTTTGCTTACTTGAAAAGATATTGGATGCTTCAATCAGTATCAACAGGTATTTTTGTTTAAGATGAACGATTGGTTCTTTGGGAGAATTGGGACTCCATTGTTGAGTTTTTGCTGTATTTGTTGACAGATAGGTATCACCAGCTCTGGTTCCTGAAGCTCAGGCCCTGGGCTATGTCCTGTCCTGTCCCTCACGCTGAAGTCTCGCTCCCTAGCAAAGCATAGGTGTCTGCAGAACACCCCTGGATAAATCTCAGCAGGTTCCAAGTTCCAGAAAGAGAAGAATCAAAACCTTTTTAGTATAAGACCATCTAAAGCGGCTGCTAACCCACCTGGTACTGTTGGTACCTGTCTGATACTTTCATCTTCCCCCCGTCTGCACGGCACATGGCACCTATGGGGGACTCCGTTCCGTTTCTCTGACGCTGTCCTCCATCTAGTGTATATGCATCGCAAGCCACATTTTCATCCCGAGGGACAAAAGAGCCAGAGTGTCTTGTACTCTTTATTTGAAAACCAAAGCAGTATAGATTGTTTTTGTATTGTAGGAGAAAAGTTGGATTGTTGGTTTCTTTCCGCAGATCTTATGGACGATCTGTTTTATTCCTGATTAAATATTACCTTGCTGAGACATACTCTCTGACCTGCACACACCAGCAGGGATTGTAATAAATAAAATTCTAAAATAGAAACAGGCTCAATTAGTGAAATCCATAGATTTAGGAGGCACTATTTGAAAAGAAAATCACTTACTGTACGCTTATATTGAAACTTTATAAAATATTGTAGATTTACAGAGTAATTGGCCTATTAGTGGTAAATCATTGAAGATTACTCCTCTTATTGGTCATTTTATGTCAAAAATATTGACAGCCTTCTGAATAGTATCATGTTTATAGGGTGTTGTTGTGCAATCATTAACCTTTGGCATTTTCTTGAACACGTGGAAATGAATTATAATTTTCCAGTGAATTTCTTCTCCCCTGAGATTTGGTAAATGTAGAGGCCACATGCCTGAAAATTTCAGAGTGAGCATATGTTTTCCCTCCTGAAATGAGAGTCATCAATAACAGACTTTGGAGAGGAAATTTTACGTACTATCATGTAACTGAGACGTGTGTGGAAGATAGAACTTAGCTGATCTAATTTGTGATTTCTGGTATGTTATTTGGTGTCATCTTCTTTTCCATGCTAGCCTTTTTTAACCTGTGTTTGCTGTTTTCAGGTATCGCATGTACAGGAAAAGCCAAACAACAGGCTTCCCTTCTCTAATTACAATTTTTTCAGCACCAAATTACTTAGATGTATACAATAACAAAGGTAAGTACTTTCAAACCTTCTTGTAGTCTCATACTATGTGCACTGATTTTCAGTCTTGTTTGAGTTTGGAGCTGGAGCTAAGCCCTGCTAGCCATGCTTTTTCCCTTTCTCTTTCCAGTTCTTACTTGGTGCAAGTTCCAAGTTTGCAGTCAGAGCCCCAGGTGTAGGTGGGCAGGGGTGGATCCCAGCACGGGTGCTTTTCAGTGTTTCCTAGGACTTTTCTGTGTGTCAGGGCTGACCAGCACTCCAAAGTAGATACAGACTTTGGAAAAAGTCATAGTTGAAGGTAATTCAAAATCATGTTCCTTAAAAAGGATGTGGATTTCAGTAAGAGTGATGTGACTGTGTATGTACAGAGTGTGCCTACACAGAAGCTGTAACTCACAATTCAGATTCAAATTGTGTTTGTCGATAGCTATGTGAGTCAGCTCCCTGCTGGGCGTGGCATGTTCTTTCCATAAAGCTGCACAGCAACAGCCCCTCCACCTTGCAGCATGCCCCATGAGTCCCTGTGGTCCAGCACCTGCAGGACTGCCCACTCCGGAGGTTGTGCCCTGGGTGGACCTTCCTTCCAGGGGGTTTTTGATTGGGCTGGTGTCCAGGATACTGCAAAGTACAGCAAGTGTGGGAAGGCACCAACTCAGGGGGCTTGGCCTGCACCTCAGACTGGGAGCGTGTCTGAGCATGACTCTCAGAGAGTGGGAAATAGGGGCAGGAGGAGGACAGTCCAGGAAGCAATGCCCCTGAGGTGGGCAGCCCAGGAGGATATGAGCCATCTGAAATCCTGGGGCTGGAGGCCACTGCCACCCCATGAGGTGTGCTGAGTGGCTTTATCCTGAAGGAAGCCTTGACCACCATTACCACAGGTGCCTGTTCAGTGTCCGTGGTCTTTCCCAGGTGGCTGCCTATTTCCCTTGTGTCCCGTGCCCCTGGCTGGACATCCACCTGTCCTCCTCAGAGGCGGACCCTTCCACCGTGTCCCCTAGAGCTCTCGGGGGTCCTGGTCCAGAAGGCGAGCCACGTGGAGCTCAGTGCCTGCACACGCCACCTGTCCCTCTCCCTCCACCCTTGAGCTCCTGCAGACCCCATGTGTGGCCCTGGTGACCGTGATGGGCCCCACAAAGCCAGAGGGCCTGCTGCACAGGAAATGCCTTGTGGCTCTGCCACTTTCTGGACATGAGACACTGCCCTTTGAGTGGCAAGCGGGGTGCAGAGAAAGAGGACAGGTGTCCAGGTGACTTGCTAACAAGACGCGACATAATGTGACTTAGTGTGAACTCAAGAGAACCAACAGGAAGTACGTTCAACAAGGGATGATTTTTCTAGAATGGCCAGAGGTGGCTTTGCTTAGGAAAAAATATGATCAAGATATTTTAAAATGGTCAGTATTTGATGAGAAGGAGAAAAAAAGCCAAGACTGTGATTACTTTTGGCAGCCAACACTGTACTCATTAACCAAGTGAGAGGTGATCCTCTGGATTGGACGAGGACTCCCAATCTTGGAAGGACAGGGGCCCTAAGATGCCTCTGAGGAGTGCGAGGCTTGCTGGGTCAACTGTAGAATCCTGTAATTTACTGTAAGTTTATAAAATACAAGTTCAGGATTTGTAATCCTCTGTGGCATTGAAATATTTCATGCCCAAAAAAGACATTTCCTTGTCAGAGACTGGTTGCTAAGGAGCATACACTATCCCTACCAGTCTTCTAACAGCCGAACACAATCCAGACAATAGAAATGCAGACTAAAAATGCAGAGATTGTCTCCTCTAGTAAAGGACTTGCCTCATTTTTGTTCTGTGAGGCACCGAGTGACATAGCCTCGCAGGGCACAGTGCCGCCTTTACACCTAGTTTGTGTCACAGCTCTGTCTCTGAGGTAACAGGGAAGGGACTCAGACATCAGTGCATCGCTGTCCCCGAGATGCTGTGGTCCTTTACTTGAGTTTCAGCCTTGGGGGAGATCATGGGCTTTCAGGAAGGGGAGAGAAGTATTTTATTTTGGGAATCTTTTTGTAAAAGAAATTCTTCTGAGAGAAAAAGGTAAACTGATAGGAAGATGAAAGATGTATTCTTCAGTTTGAGCATAATTTCAGAAGACGTTTCTGTAAAATTTCTGAAGCATTGTGCTGTGTACTGTATGTGGGAGGGAGTCAATTATCTACCACAAAGTGCAGGCTACTCCATTTGAATAAAATCATTGTTACCTAGGACGTTCAGAAGCAGCGTAGTGAAATTCGGTTACAAGCACTGCAAAACACAGCCATGGGAGAGTACCAAGTATCTCTGAGTTAGCCGTCTGCTTCTGAGAACCCATGGCTGTGCAAGACGGGGAATGGTACTCCAATCGTTGTTACGTAGGATTGGTTTGCAAAGCTCCAGCGGACTATCACAGCAATGACACCGACTAAATGAAGGATGAGAAAAGGGGCTTTCCTCTGCCATTTAAAAGCAGGTAGCCATCATGGTCAGGTGTAAATTCAAGGGTCCAGGAATTCAAAGGGCAGTTTTTTCTGTCTACAGTTAATAGGTAGCACCTAGAAGATGCGGAGGGGGGAGTATCCCTCCCTGGTGTAGTCCCATGAATCCCCCTGGACCACTAGGGTGACTTCCTTACCCACCTCTCTACCTGTGTTTCTGACGACTCCTGCAAAATGCCAGAGCTATAGATGTAGTTTGGAATCACAGCTCTGCCTTGAGTGAAGCTTATTGAATTTATTGGATATGTGGTGACATCTATCTAAACAAGGGAAAAGATGTTGTTTTGTGAATAATGCATGAAATTGTTTAGAAACAAAATGTGGTGTGCTCTTAAGATATTATCATAATTCACTATTTCATGTCATGATGGCACATGCAGTGCCGGACATATTCCTCTTCAGCTTCTATGTATTTATCTCCCCTGCCATCCTGACCATCCTTTCCACCTCTCTCTGGGCAAACCGTTTCCCTTATTCACCTGTTCTGCTCAGGTCCCTGCACTGCTGGGTCCTTTCTGCCCTCCACCCCTTCACTCCATGCTTCTTCCCCTCCAAATAATGTTTCTTCCCTGATCATTACACCATCCAGGTTTCTGGCATTGAGCTCTGCGATGGCAGTCATTTTCTCCTGTGCACTTTTCCCTGCTTAGCTTTCCCTTATATTTCAAGTGCACGGCAGTCAGAGTATAAAGAGCTTGAGACATGAGGCTTTTAGTGTTCAGACTAAAGCTTAGCCTTGTGCCTTGTACATGGCCAAAAGCCAATAGAATCATAGACTCTGGCCCTATTTCCTTGGGAATTAATGACAAGGGAACTTCCCAGTGACAGCTTATCAGTATTGACCCAGAGATCTTTATCTCATTGGAAGCTACTATTAAAACCAGCACTGACACCCATTCCAAATCAGAGGTGAATATTGCAGAATGCTTTGAGTAGATGTCTAAATGGCTTTTTTCTGTGAATTTGTGACCCTACTGGAGAGCTACTTCCAAATTACCCAAATACACTAAAGAGGAGAAAAATGCAGTAATGACCCAAAGCTTTGTGTTTTTATAAGATGCAGCCTGTAAAAATGACTTGCCCCCTTACACTCACAAATTTAACAACTTTTGTCAAAAACTCCATACACTGAACACCATGCTAGGTGTTGGGGATATAAATCCCAAGAAATAGATGTGGCCTTATAATCTGGTAATACGATAGATATTAAGTTTTTCAATAAATATTTAAATGTGTTTGAAAAACTGTAAAGACAAGTATAGCGTGCTAGGAGAGTAGAAATTAGGATATGGGGACTGGGAATGTTTACCTGCTTAAGTGACACCTAAGAGTACAATCATGGAGGATCCTAAATACTGTGGCAGATGTAAACACTGCTTTAAACAATTGTTTTTTTACCCAAATGTTAAAATGAGTCTCTGAAAAAACATGTATTATATACCTTGATATAAACAGTCAGATCCTTTTCTTTCCAGAGATGCAGCCATGATTCAGCAGAATCTAACGTAGAAGGAAGGTGTCCACAGTGGAGCCTTCCCTATGGTTTGCATGAGCTCCTGGAGAGGGAGAGTGGTCAGTGTGTGGAAAGGGGAGGGCAGGCATTGTAAACCAGAGGTTCAAAACGCAACACCAAGAAAAGCTAACAGACTGTAAAATTATGGACACTGATCAAATGAAACGTTTGGGTTTGTGAGGAAAATCTCAGGGGAAACCAAACTAATTTAGCAACCAAGACCAGAGATTACATTGACAATGAAGAAAAATAAAACAGCTCAGTATTGAAACATTAAGGAAAAGATTCATGGAGATTAGGTTTAGCACATGGACAAGAAGGACATTGGTAGAATTGTGACATGCACAATTCTGTGGTTTTTGAACAACAGTGTGATGTTTTGGACTTTTGAACTTGACAAGAGTTGCTAATCAAAACTTTTTAGTCATGGGCTTTGGGAAGATACCATTTATGAATAAAAAGAGAATCACAGCTTGGCAGGCAGGAACCAAGGTGGCGGTCATGTCAGTACCTGGGAGCCGGTGCAGCGCCCAGGAGCCAGCAGGGCTTCAGGTGAGTGCCACTGGTGTGGTGGAGCTGTTGTGCACTGTGAGCTTCATGCCTGCACCCCTGGGGTTCTGGGCCCAGGTGACCAGATCCTTATCTACTCAGGTTGGCAGGAAGGGGAGCAGAAGCCTTGCCCAGCCACCCCGGAGATCATCTCCGTCTGTCGCTCTGGTGGGGATAACATAGTAAGACTAGAAGACCCTATGGAGCCTTAACTTATTAGTTTATGTGCAAGCCCACTTCCTTACGGAGCTGTACTGTGTGTGCAGCACAGCCCCTGTTCTCTAGTCAAAGGCTGTCCTGAGAAGATGTCACCTTTTGCATTGACACAATGTGCTAGAAGCGTTACTGTGTCCTTGTAACCAGAGACATAAATAAACCTCAAGTTTTTAAACTGGATGCCACTCACCCAAAGCCTTTGCTCCCCACCATGGCTCTCCTGACCATTGCTTTTTGCTTGCCATC